CATTTATAATCTTATTTTTTCATCATTGATTCCTCCTCCTTTTGTCCTACACCTACCTTGCTCTCTCATAAATAATTTTTTCATGTTTTTTTTTGTAAATTTAAGAAGTGGTCCGCCTTACATTATTGTTTATCATGCGACATTTTCTCATAACAAATTTACCTAAAGAAAGAAAAAATTGTATTTTTCTCTGAAATGAAATTTAAAAGAATGAAGAGTATTCAAGCAATATAAATCCTACATCAAGTGACATAATAACTCTCCGAGTACATATCCTACATGCAGGTGACATAATAGCTCTCCGAGTACACATCCTACATGCAGGTGACATAATAGCTCTCCAAGTACACATCCTACATGCAGGTGATGTAATAGCTCTCCGAGTACACATCCTACATGCAGGTGACATAATAGCTCTCCGAGTACACATCCTACATGTAGATTACAAATTAGCTCCCCGAGTACACATCCTACATGCAGGTCACATAATAGCTCTCCGAGTACAGATCCTACATGCAGGTCACATAATAGCTCTTCGAATACACATCCTATACATGCAGGTCACATAATAACTCTCCGAGTACAGATCCTACATGCAGGTGATATAATAGCTCTCTGAGTACACATCCTACATGCAGGTGATATAATAGCTCTCTGAGTACACATCCTACATGCAGGTAACATAATAGCTCTCCGAGTACACATCCTACATGCAGGTGACATAACAGCTCTCCGAGTACACATCCTACATGCAGGTTACATAACAGCTCTCCGAGTACACATGCAAACTCTTGAAAGACAAACTCTCTGAAGAAACAAACTATAAATTCTGAGAGTGCCTGTCCAGACCTAGAATAAAGGAAAAATGTGAAAATATTATAAAGTTTTAAATGTCAGAATTTAGCTTTTTAAGATCTTGTCTTACATGGACTAGGTGAGGGTAATTTCAAGTGTCACTCCGTGCAAAGATGGCAATGCCCCATTCACAACAATAACTTAACAACCTTTATCTGATCAATAATATGGAAGATATTGTCGTTTTCTAGGTTTAAAAGTATTTTTATTTTCAATTGAAATTATTCTTACAGTATATTTTTGGATAGGCCTTTGGGAATCGACAATTGCCAGATTTTTATATTGAAATTAGGTTTTTTTCCCATGAAATCCTCCAAAGAGTTAAAAATCATTATTTTTTTTTTACTTTTTTCAAACAATATGCGCAATTATTTAATTTTCCTCGATATTACATAATCGTTATACTCTGAGTATTGTTGCTAGGTCCTCCAGGATGTATCCTTTGTACTCTTTGACAACGGCTGGCTTGGCGGGTAAATTTAAAAATGCTGCCAGCTTTAAAATAAATGTTTAAAAAAATGTCTATTTTTAGTAACAATAAACCTAAAATGGGTCTTTTGTTCTCTCTTTAGAGATTGTTAAGGGTTAATATTAACCCCACGTCCCGACCCCTATTTGAGGAGCGTTGTTATTGGGCTTGTTTTTGCCAATAATGCCATGTACGCTAGTTAAACTGAGTATGCAGTGTTGTGGACAATTTCTTTAGGATTCTTTTGAAACATATTAAACGTTTCTACGATGAATAATTACTGAGTTTGAGCGCAAAGTCGACGTTCAAAATCATGAATTTGGGTCGGTACATTTTCAGAATCGGTTTTTTTAAATTATCAAATAACGACGACGAAAAATAAAGTAAAAATTTTACAGTAAACTGATTAAAGATGGTTAGGAACATATTTCTCAAAAGAAATTTGTCAATAAATCAATGCTAGAATCAATTACTTCGTTTTTAAAATTATATTGAATTTCTTATTTTCTATGAATTTATTCGTAAATTTCTACAAATTCTTCAAATGTCGTCTTTTCAATGAAAATTCCAGAAAATCTTTGTGATTAATGAGAGATTATAGAAACTAATAATTAAATAAGAATTTGTCCATACTGCACTCATACTCATACTTAGTTCAACTACCTTACATAGCCGGTCTGTCCCTTTAAGTGTTTAACCCCTTTTAAACAGCTGACGTACTTTTTAACAATTTTCATTGGTTTTGAGAGATTTACTTTTGGATCTAATTGGTCGGACCCTCAGAATATATATATTCTGAGGTCGGACCTTTTAAAATTCAGACAAAAAAAAATATGTTTTCCATTGAACAACCTGCTGACCGTTACCTCTTTCTAAAATTTAAACATTAAATTTTTTCAGATTGCCATAGCTAAAATATTGCTTGCTGATTTTTAAATTCAGTGCAAAATAAACACGACTTAAAGGGAGTGTTCGCGAAAAATGAAAGGGGGTATAGGTTTAATGCGATACAAAAGTGCTTTTGATCGCTACTAATCTTGCTTCTATCTGTTGCGTCTATAAGGAGAAAATTGTTAAAAACGACTAATACCGAACAACGTAGTGTCCATACAAATTCAGATATTACAAACAATAGTCATCGATTATTTTTTGACGCATTCGTAAATAGTTAAAATTTCATAATATTTTGTATTTTTCATGATCTGAGATTTACTTTTGAAAACATTTATTCCTGTTTCGAGAATTTTTTGATAATAAAGACGACATTTTCATATTTTCCAGGAATGTTCGAAAATCCAACGCCAGCGAATTTTTTTTTTTAAATCAAAAATATTATGAAATTTCAACTATATATGAATGCATCGAAAAATAATCGATGACTATTGTTTGTAAGCCTATGCCCCCTTTCATTTTTCGCGAACACTCCCTTTAAAGCTACAAATTTTGCTGCCTCACAAAAAGTTTAGGCATTGCGATCCGAATGAAAAAAGTTTGCAAAGCTTTTTTGTGACATGTTTTTATGCTAAATATATCTAATTTTTGTGACATGTTTTTATACTAAATATATCTAATTTTTGTGACATGTTTTTATACTAAATATATTTAATTTTTGTAACATGTTTTTATACTAAATATATCTATTTTTTGTGACATGTTTTTATACTAAATATATTTAATTTTTGTAACATGTTTTTATACTAAATATATCTAATTTTTGTGACATGTTTTTATACTAAATATATTTATTTTTTGCGACATGTTTTTTACTAAATATATTTAATTTTTGTGACATGTTTTTATACTAAATATATTTATTTTTTGCGACATGTTTTTTACTAAATATATTTAATTTTTGTAACATGTTTTTATACTAAATATATCTAATTTTTGTGACATGTTTTTATACTAAATATATCTAATTTTTTTAACTGAACAATATTGTGAAAGAAACCGTCGTCCTTTTTGAAGAGAATCCCCCATATTGAAAAAAAACCGTTTTCAAAATTATAAATATGGATATATCATTCATACAAAGGATGAAATCATTTGAGTAGTTATAATTATTAAACCGTATTTCTGAGATTAAACTCTGAGCAAATGTTTTCAAGGATAGATATCTGTAAATTAGATAAAAAAATAAAAAAATTTTCATTTTATTATTATTATTTAATTTGATTATTTTCATATCACTTGGCTATATTTTATATCATTTAATTATTTTTATTTACAATTTATTATTTCTATTTCGTTTGACCATTTTGTTTTAGCTCATTTAAATATTGTTATTTTACTTGATTATTATATTTCTTTTGATTGTTAGTAATTTAATTAATTTGTCTTATTTCATTTGATTATTGCAACTATATTATTTCATTTAATTATTAGTGCTTACAATCTAAATAATTAAATAAATGGTTGAAAATGATATTGCGAAACTGAGAGTAATTCTCTCAAAATTTGTAATTTTATATTTTTTTTCTCTCCTACTGCACTAATAAAGTAAATGAATTTTTAAGTATGTAAATAAATTAAACATGATTTTATTCAAGTAACAAGTTAAATTAATGATATTATAAATAAATATCTTTCATTAAAAGCTTTAGACTAGCTTTTCAACCTATTCAACCTATTTAACCTATACAATCTATTTAACCTATTCAACCTATTCAACCTATTTAACCTATACAATCTATTTAACCTATTCAACCTATTCAACCTATTCAACCTATTCAACCTATTCAACCTATTCAACCTATTTAACCTATACAATCTATTCAACCTATTCAACCTATTCAACCTATACAATCTATTTAATCTATTCAACCTATACAACCTATTCAACCTATTCAACCTATACAACCTATTTAATCTATTCAACCTATTCAACCTATTCAACCTATTCAACATATTCAACCTATTCAACCTAGAAGCCAAGCTAAGAACATTGTCGTGTTTAACCGAGTTCCCTAATACAAATGTTATGTTCCCGAGTTACCCTTGCGAGAACTAGAGCACGGGATAAGAAACTAGCTGCAGCAGGAGAAGGTAAAATTTATCCAGCACTAACAGCATCTTGTAATCCACTAGGTTGGAACAAGCGAACAAGCATGAAAATCTAATTTTCCCGAGCCCGAATTTAAAGAATTTGAGCCGAAGGTTAAATTTAAACCGCGACTCAAATTTTGTTAGTTCCACTTACATTTGTAACAAATTTTTCAAGATTTTAGCCGGCGCTCAATTGAACCCGTTTTTTGGGGGATTTGAGACGCGGCTTAAATTCATTAAATTCGAACACTGGTTATATATTATAAAGTCAAAACAATTGTGTTCTTCTGAATCACTCAATAATCTTAAATAATAACTTTAGTTTTAGGCTGGAAATAAAATTTAAAATAATTTTAACCTATTTACGTATACGGAGTTCATAAAACAAAAGTAAGTTTACACCTCTGATCTTGAGTTTATTACAAAATATACAAAGTAGAAAAGTGCAGAAAAAGTATCAAAATACACTAATCTACATGAACATGAATATTGATGTAACGCCCATCATAAAAACGTTCAAAACCAAACAATTCTGGGAAAAAAAGATTAAGCTTGAAACTTCGAAGGAGATGAATCAAATTTAAACATCTGTACTCAGATATCTCATTATTTTTGCCTTTATAAGACCGGAATAATATTAGTTATATCATTAAACATTCATCAGTCAAACCAGAAGCATCTACTAGAAATCAGTCATGCTTAAGCTCGTGTCAGGTAATCCTTTGTTATAGTATCTAGTATCTAGTATTTAATATCTAGTATCTAGTATCTAGTATCTAGTATCTTTTATATAGTATCTAGTATCTAGCATCTAGACTCTAGTATCTTTTCTATAGTATCTAGTAACTAATATCTAGTCTCTAGTATCTAGTATCTAGTATCTAGTATCTAGTATCTAGTATCTAGTATCTAGTATCTAGTATCTAGTATGAAGTCTCTAATATCTAGTTTCTAGTATCTAGTAGCTTGTATCTAGTATCTATTATCTAGTATCTAGTATCTAGTATCTAGTACCTAGTGTCTAGTATCTAGTATCTAGTATCTAGTATCTAGTATCTAGTGTCTAGTATCTAGTATCTAGTATCTGGTGTCTAGTATCTAGTATCTAGTATCTAGTATCAAGTATCTAGTGTCTAGTATCTAGTATCTAATCTCTAGTATCTAGTATCTAGTATCTAGCATCTAGTATCTAGTATCTAGTATCTAGTATCTAGTATCTAGTCTCTAGTATCTAGTATCTAGTGTCTAGTATCTAGTATCTAGTATCTAGTATCAAGTATCTAGTATCTGGTATCTAGTATCTAGTATCTAATATCTAGTAACTAGTATCTAGTCTCTAGTATCTAGTATCTAGTACCTTGCATCTAGTATCTAGTATATAGTATTTAGTATCTAGTATCTAGTCCTAGTATCTAGTATCAAGTATCTAGTATCTAGTACGTAGTATCTGGTATCTAGGATCTATTATCTTGTTTCTAATATCTTGTATTAAGTAACTAGTATCTAGTATCTAGTATCTAGTATCTTGCATCTAGTATCTAGTATAGAGTATTTAGTATCTAGTATCTAGTCCTAGTATCTAGTCCTAGTATCTAGTTCTAGTATCTAGTATCAAGTATCTAGTATCTAGTACGTAGTATCTGGTATCTAGGATCTATTATCTTGTTTCTAGTATCTAGTAGTAAGTATCTAGTATCTAGTATCTAGTATCTAGTATTTAGTATCTAGTATCTAGTATCTAGTATCTAGTATCTTCTAGTGTCTAATATCTAGTGTCTAGCATCTAGTATTTAGTATTTAGTATCTAGTATCTAGTGTCTAGTATCTAATATCTGATGTCTAGTATCTATATATGTATCTAGTATCTAGTATCTAGTATCTAGTATCTAGTATCAAGTATCTAGTATCTGTTGTCTAGAATCTCTAGTATCTAGTATCTAGTATCTAGTATCAAGTATCTAGTATCTGTTGTCTAGAATCTATAGTATCTAGTATCTAGTATCTAGTATTTAAAATTCGGTGATGGTGATGGATCAAGCATCTGTAGAGTAAAAAAGTAGATGTTAGTTCCACATTTATTGAAAATATATTTCGGTCTGGGTTGACCCTCGTCGGTTCTTGAGATTGTTTCTTCACAAAGATTAAAAACAAACTCATATCTCATAACTCGTATCTAGTTTCTAGTCTCTAGTCTCTAGTATCTAGTATCTAGTATCTAGTATCTAGTATCTCTAGTCTCTAGTATCTAGTATCTAGTATCTAATGTCTAGTATCTAGTCTCTAGTATCTAGTATCTAGTATCTGCTATCTTGTTTCTAGTATTTAGTATCTAGTATCTAGTACGTATCTAGTAATAATTTAAATTCTTCTGGATTATCCAGTCTGGAGGGATGATTTTATGAATCGGTTTTAAAAAATTATTCTATAACGATGATGAAAAATGTTTCAAAAATCCTATTATAAACTTATTTCTCGACAGAAATTTGTGAAAAGAAATCAATAGTAGAATCAATTCCTTCTTTACCATTATTATATTGAATTTTTTATTTCTTACCAATTTGTTCGCAGATTTCTTAAAATTCTTTAAACATCCTCTTTTCAATACAAATTCCAGTACATATTCGGAAAACGTTTATGAACAATGAAATATTACAGAAAAAGATAATGAAAATTAAGATAAATTTTTTAACCCTATCCCTGCTGGGGTACTTGAAAACCAGGATACGCTGGGGGGGGGGTCAATTTGTCCCCCCCCCCTCTAAATCCCATGTTTTATGTCCAAATATGACAAATGATACATTATTAGAAAGCTCTTGTGCTCTACTTTTAGAATCTGGAAAATAAATTGCAAATTTGCGAAAATTGAATTTTTAATCGCAAAATCCAGTTTTATAGTAAAAATGTTTGCAAAAAAAAATTTGTCCAAAATCCCAGCAGGAATAGGGTTAAGTGAGTTAATTTCTATTTCCATAACCTGTACCTAAACAACTGATTCGTTTACTCTCAAACAAATCCTGATATTTCTCTACAATTCCATTCAGCGCAAATTAGCCGGTCTCTCCTATTAACCATAAATGTTTCAGCATTGTTTTTCACCCTTTTCATCGGATCAGCCTCGGCTCAATGCTGTCAAAAGAAAACTGTGTCAGGTAAAAAATAAATTCATAGATTTTTAATAATAACAAGTTCTTTTTTTAGCCTATGTCACCCCCGGGCTACCCATGAGTTTCTTCAAAACATTTCAGCCCAATCGGTCCAGCCGTTTGGCAGGCTAAAAGAACAAAAATACGAATGTCTTGTCTTATTATATAGATATATGTGTATATATGACAGCTAGAGCTGGCCAAGTGACTAGACTGAATGGGCTGAAATTTTTTGAGAAACCTATGTTTACCCCCAGGTAACATAAACTAAACAAAATCGAACTTCTTTGTCAAAAATAGTAATTTTTTTTTTAAATTCGAATTTTTTAAAAATGTTTCTTTAATACCACGGGCATTGCCGGGCACTTGAGCTAGTTTCTAATAAAATCGAACAAATTAGGCAAAATCATCAAAATCATTTACTCCATTTTTTCTATTAGAATTATACCTATAATTTTTATTTCTAAAAATTGTTAGTTCATCGTCAAAAAAAACTAACAATCGACCACTAGTTATATTTAACGTATTGTATACTATATAACTTTCCTTTGTCTTTGCTTTTATTTATCTTTTTTTAAAATTGGGGGGAAATATTTCCAAAAGTATTAAGGCCATGAGAATTCTACGATGGATGGTGAATACCGTCTGACAAATTATACAGTTGATGATCGTTGCAAGGACGACTGTATTTACTTCAAGGAACAAATCATTTTAGACAACTGATTAAGCCATTATTCATTCTGGAAGTGAGGGGAAGGAAGTGGGGGGAAGGAAATGGCTATAAAATAAATTTGATTAAAAAACATAAATCATTGTTTTGGATTTTAATTTCGATTAGAAAATTTATTCTGTTACAACAATTAAAATTTCATCATGAGAGAATCTATTTTTTTTCACTTTAAACCTGCAGTAATAAGCCTTCAGTAATAAGCCCTCATGTTCACTTAAAAATACTTTGAAAAAAAGATTACAAAGCACCTTAAAAAAGTATTTTGTCATAAATATAAATCTAAAAATGATCGGTTTGTAGTTCACTGAAAACCCAGATGTCGAGAAACTATTCTGCTTTAAAGCTGTTCCACTGACTGAGGCTCCAACAGTAGATTGCGGGGTATTTTTTTTCTAGATTTTTTACGGAACAATAATAAGATAAATTCAAAGATTTTTGACTGTCATTGACCCCTAATAATGCACAGTATATGATGTAAATTAAGCGCTCTACTTAATTAATTTTGTTGCTAAGAGCAGATTTATATATAAATGCTTTAACATTTAATAAAAATCGAATTTTGTGGAAAATTGAAATTTTGAACATCTATGAACCTTCTTTTGACGATTATTGGATACAAACAAACAGACAGACAAGCAAAATTTATAAATAGATATTAAATGTTTGTAAATAAATCTACATTGAATATTCAACTTTTAATTTTTATATAAAGAAATATAAAATATATTTATATTAGACGATAAGTGAATCGGAAATCAACGCAGCTAAGGAGGAGTTGGCTGCAGCAACTGCAGCTGAGGAAGCACTACAAGCGATATTAGCACTAATCGCAAGTTTGAGAAGAATGAAAAGATCAGCCTTAACAACAATACCTGACTCACAAGTGTGTGATAAAATTGTTGAATTAATGGACACAGCAGCAACAAAAGATGACATAAAAGTAAAACTTCCAATACTATTAAAAATAAAAGCTCTGCTTGAAAGAGGAGTAGACTGTTCATCAATAAAGCAAGCGTTACAAACCAAAGTAGCTGCAGAAAAAACTAAGGTTGCTGCAGTCAAGGCAAAAGCTGCTGCATTAGTTCCACCACCACCCACAACAAAAGCCCCAACTAAAACATCTAAAGCTGCCACAACAACTGAAGCTGCCAAAACAACTGAAGCTGC